TGCCAAAAATTACAGTTGTTTTTTTATGTACTTAGAAAGATTTCCTTTCACAGATTGTTTTGTCCTATCCCTCAACCTAGACCAATATGCAGCTCGTTTGAATTCCGTTCATATTATGACTAAAGTGATTATTTTGAACAAGAAGAACCTCGAAAAATATGGAAGTTGATTTACATGGCTTCCCATCAGAAAGATAATTCGGGAACCAAATGTTGGCCCACATGTCTCTTTAACCTTAGGTCTGCAACAATCTTATCTAACGGAGGAAAACCTGAAAATGTCTTATAATTTAAAGGTTCTTCCAATGAAAGCCTTAGAAGCCAGATCCGATACTGAATGGTTTGGATGAATCCAATCATAAATTACGGTACACCTTTAGCAAACATCAGTTTGCTATTATCTTTGAGATGAAAATGGCGTTTAAAACAACATTCAGGGGTTCTTCTTCGACAATCTTTATTCAATCCTTATGTATCTGACATAGGTCGTAAGTTGCTCAGAAAATTTATGGAATTTTTTGTTGTTAAATATCCACCATCTACGGGAGATTTATTGTTTGTTCAAACTAAAGAGCTTATTAGAACTCGTCATTAATCAATTTTGACGTTAATGAATGTCGGGGAAGATGAAATGGCTAATAACTTAGGACTTCAAATTATTGCGTTCCTGTATTATTTCGAGCAAGTAGGAGGGCCAAACAAGAAAATATTTTGCTCGCTCTAGTGAAGTGGGAGGTACAGCTTAACAACTTCAAACACGATATTCTAAATTCATTTCTCTTATTCATTTCGTCGAATTAGAACAAGAGACTCACAATCTATCCAAGAACGTGGCATATTTTATAATTTCAGACATATTTCAAGATACAGTCTTAATAAAGAATTCGTGTTTTTGGAAAATGAAAGCTAACTGAGTGTTTTTTTTTTTTTTAGGTGGATAAGGTTACGCCAGCCTGTCTGCTCCCACACACCGATTACCATTATCCGCAGGATTTCGTGAGAGGGACTTTCGGTACCTAAGATTTATTTTTATTACCATATTTTTGTGAGAATTTTCTTTTCGTCAATTATTGACGCTTCAATTAAACTTGTAAGGAGTTTCCCCTGAGAATGAAACCAAAAAAACAAAACAAAACAAAACAAACACACAAACGAAGAAACGTTGAATTTATGGGTTGATATTGAAAATTGGGAGTTCTTAGAAACTCAAGGGAACTTGGCTTTTTATGTGACTCTATGACATTATTCACCTAATGTTCTTAAGAATATTTTTATGATGTTATTGTCTTAAACGCACTCCATTGACTATAATTATGAAGCAATTGAAGTTAATGTATGGAAATTTGTGTGGTAAAATCCCTTTTTCTAATCTGTTGATGAAGATAGAATCATAGCCCATCAAAACCAAAGTGTTTCTAATTAGCTCAAAGGAAGACATTGAAAACGTGCTCATTCGCAAACTTTAAAACGCGTACCCACGTATATTATTTGCAGGGTCAGGACTGACAGCTGTTAATTTTGTTAACATCCCATTTTTAATACTAATAGGTCGGTTTCTATCACTTAAATTCATTATCAAATGCGGGTGGTCGACGCGAAATTTGTGGCACACTGAAAGCATCAATACTGAGCTCCGTTGTCTTGAGGAAGCATGGAATTTTCAGCGTTTCTGGTATTCGCAGTATGGACTTCATCGATAACTTACTTGACGTTTGGTAAAGGTGAGTTACAAAATGCGCATCATTTTCCATCGCTATATTCATAATTCAGCCCGTGCTATCTTATTTTCCGTCACTCTTTATTTCTATTTCGCTGATTTACAACAGCTGATGCACTGAGCTTATTAACGTACCGTTATGAGAAAATTAAAAACCTGAATTCAACAAAGATGATTTTTCAAGGAAGAAACCTCAGTCTTGTAAACTTCTTTTGCAGATATTAACAGTATTTAACAAGGGCGTATTATTATGATGAGCCATATCGGAAATTTTCAGTTGTTACAAAAAAAGTAAGAACTGCTACGATGAAGAATTGCTTCATTCAAAACAACTTCAATCCTAACGCTCATCAGCTCATATTTACATGGAAGGATAATCAATTCTATCAAAAACGTTTCTTTGTTGTGTTGCAGACGGGAATTTGATAATTTGCATGGAAAAATAATTAGCCACTCTTAGCCAACTTAAGCGAAGTTATTTTTATAGAAAGACAATGCTGGCATTTGGAATAGACCAATTTGTACTGGTTTTAAATTTTTGCCTATAAAAATAGGGTAGCCCGTCTTCGTAAAATTTAACCATGTGGGATTGAAAAATAAAACCTTTGACGCACAGTCCTTTTAATTAAATATTACTTTTCGAATTGGAGGTTTTAAAACCTGCCAAGGAACAAATAGCTTCATTGAGATGATCCTTAAGAACGAGTCTCTGTAAGAATCAAACATCTTGGGAAATGAAAATTTTCAACCCCCCTTCAAATTCTGCGTGCAGTTAGGCAATTAGAGGGGATACACAAAACTGCCCTTTTTAAAGGTCGCAGCACTCTTGTTGCCATGGTAACAACGGCTGCTTGTTCGAGGCCTGGAGCCTCATTTTCATTACAAAAACGTCGCAAAAAAAGTGTGAAATGTTTATTTCTCTATATCAAGCTAAATACAACATAACAAATCGTCACTTCTACCATACATAGTGACATCATTCGTCTTCACTTTAATTTATTCAATTTTCCCTGAGAGTGAACATGAACACACCAATAGATTATTCATCTTGGTACAGTTTCGGTCATTTTGTTGTCGGATAAAACAGGGAAAATATTTATCTGAATTTCTCCAAAAGTGCACCGATTCTGGAACTGAAACTACCCACCTAGCTGGTTATAATATTTTAGTTTTTAAATATGTAAATATGTCTGCGGGCTGGCCTCTACTTTTTATAGGGGCAATTCGCGAAAAAAGCTCAAAATCAGATATTGCATAATTTGGCGATGTTTCCATCCAATGTTCTCAACAACAAATGTTTCAGACAAATGAAACATGCACGGCTTTGGAAGTATGTTATTTTATGAGCAATATCCCGAAGAGAAATCTCGCCTCTGGTTGTCATCTTTTAAAAAAAAAAATTGATCAAACTTCATGGAGGACTACTCGACGTAACTACAAACATATACCTCAAATCGTGTGCATATCATCCAGATTCCGAGTGCTGCACCTTCTTTCATGGGAATTTTGAGCGATCCAAAGTCCTCTGAAGATACACTGTTATACTTTAATGTCATTTGAAACATGTCGAAGTCGGCTGATCTACACGAAACTCTCCTCACACCGGTCATTTGTCATAAACATGTACGTTGCATCCCCACTGAGTGCCTAACTGCATGCAAAATTTGAAGGGGGGTTGAAAATGTTCATTTCGCAAGATGTTTGATTCTTACAGAGACTCGTTCTTAACAAAACCTTTGCACAGAGGCTTTGTGCAATTTTCCAATTTTGTGCTCTTTCATAATCAATCTCATGGCAAGGATTCCTTAGACTGAAATTTATTCAAATATATATTTTTTAGTCATTTGAAAACTCTGTTGTTGTGATCAGTATTTTTCAACAGCAGAAAAATGATGTGGGTGGACTTTAACCATTGTGTGGGATTGAAAAAATAAAACCTTTGACGCAAAATCTTTTTAATTATTACTTTTCGAATTGGAGGCTTTAAAACTCTTCAAAGAACAAATAGCTTAATTGAGATGATCCTCAACAAAACCTTTGCACAGAAGCTGCGTGTAATTTTTCCAATTTTGTGCTCTTTCATAATCAATCTCCCAGCAAGGATTCCTTAGACAAAAATTTATTTAAATATATATTTTCAGTGTTTTAAAAACTTTGTTGCTGTGATCAATATAGCAGAAAAATGATATGGGTAGACTCTATTTGACATGAGAAAAAAACTAATGAATTAAAACGATGAACAGATAAATGAGTTGTTTTAAGAAGACAAACGACGGAAATAAAGAGATGACTATATTCACCATAGCTAAGCAATCCAAACAACTTACATTGGCTTGCAAAAGTAAAAAAAATAAAATTTCATTCTACATTTGTTCGTTCAGAAAACCTTCGAAAACGAATATAAATCTCCTCATTGACGCAAAACAAGAATGGTTATTCTCGGCTTAAATTTGCATGAATTCCGTTGTTCGAAAAAAAAGAGCCGCAGGGGAGCTCTTCAGTCATACATTTCTTTAATAAATACTCGATAGTCAAGCACCTGTTTATATAAAGAAAAAAAGAAAAAAAATGCACTTTAAGACCGTACGTCCTGGTCAAGCCTTTGAGATATTAAAGGCTACCTATAAGATAATTTAAATTGTGTTCATCGCACTGATGACAACTACATCAAAAAATGCAAACACCAGTTAACTCCCTTTGTAGTAGGAATTTCACAGTGTTTGATGAGCTCGTCTTTTCTATCGATGTAATTCATGTGAAACATGAAATATTTGCCGTAAATGTTCTGTACCTAAGAAACCCACAAACTCTGAAATAAAGCTAGTTTTATGTTATTGTTTAACTGTAGAAAGCGGCGAAGCAATTTACAAATTTTTTATTACATTTAACCAATCATCGTTCCTCTCGCCGACTGCTTTGTTTGACTTACGTTTTTAACGCATTTGCTACCATAGTTTGCTGAGATCCGAGAATTTTTGCCAAGAGATTTGTTCTTATAACTTTTTACTCGAAGTTTAGTTTTTTTTGCGACGGAAAAGTATGCCTTATAATCATATTTCAATTTTTCCATTTTAGAGCGAGAGCGCGCAATGGTGTTTCCGGACTACTACTTCTTTGCTGAAAGACGTCTGGAAAACCATACCATTGAAAAGAAACGCGTCAACAGCTTGGATGACTGTGAGCTAATGTGCTACCTGAACGACGACTGTGTCAGTCTTAACTTCAAAAAAGATCCTGAGAATAATGAAGCAGTTCACATCTGTGAACTAAATAACGCCACTCATCTGAAATACGACATTGACTTGACAACTGGTGCCAATTTTTATTATCGCGGATCGAAGGTGAGTTACAAATCGATTTTTCGAAATCATTGCCTTTGGATATATATGATAACAATAATTAATGTTTATACAAATTTTTGTGTAGTCGATCATTCGGTATTTCGTTTCTTTTTTCATTTTAATTTTTCTTCTTCTTTAGAACGCTTGTGACAAGAGTCCTTACTGCAAAAATAACGCAACTTGCCAGTCTGGATTTACACTCAAGGGATATCGATGTTTCTGTCCTTCTGGATTCGAAGGAGAATATTGTGAAAAGGGTATGAGTCAACACTTGAAATGAACATATATGAGATTTTTTTCTGATTTTCATGCTGGTATGACAACTGTTCTTTAGTTGCTGAAAGTGGCGTGAATTTCTCTCATTGTATAACGTGCTGAAACTTAGAATCTAAGAAAAATTTCTTACTATATTTTATTGAGCGTGTATAATGTATTCTTCTTTTGCTCGTTTGTATATTTTCATTTTGTTTTGTTTTGGTTTGGCTGCTTATTTGTTGTTTTTTGTTTTGTTTTCTGCCTTTGTTTTTGGTCTCGTTTTTTGTTTTATTTTGTATTTTTTTTATTTACCTTGAATGTTAGACGCCTTTCCATGGCAAAATAAGAGCGGTTTATATGTGTGTCGAATGCTCAATATAGTAACTGCAAGGAGAGCTTAGAAATGATAGCTTAATTGAAAGTTACCACCAGAGAACCAGTTAAAGCAGGAAGCTACAAATAAATTGAGGTTTTCGTGAATTGCTGAGTTCCTATGGCTCTAGATAGAAACCAAAATGCTTATGCTTTAGTTGATATTTTATTCATGTATTTTTTTTTGTCCTTCTCTCTCTTTAATTTTACAACAGATACTGATAAATGCGAAGCATTCGTCGGCAAATGCCACAAGGAGGCTACGTGTAATAACACAAACGGATTATACGTGTGCACATGCAAAGCCTTTAGATTCTTGTTGAATAGTGCAATGAGATTTTTTTTTTTGGTTGTTTGATGATGTTTATCTTGCTAACTTGGCAAGCCACGTTTTAATTGTTCAAAATAGGTGAGACAGTTACCTCACTAAAAGTTATTAAAAGATAGGTTTCTGCATAGACAACTTTTTTTTTCATCAGGCACGACAATCTCGCGTTCTCGAGTAAAAGGTTGAAAACAGCCATGGCTTGCACTCTTAAACGAGGTAATGGCTTATACGCGGCAATTTTGCATAATTTTGAAATCCCATTTTTTTTATCTGTGATTTCATAGACATTGACGAGTGTAAAGGAAAGCACTCTTGTCATGAGAATGCAAACTGCACCAACACCATTGGATCACATGTGTGCGATTGTCAGCCTGGATATACTGGAAGTGGACAAAATTGCACAGGTGAATTCGGAATAGCAAGGAAATACGGTCATGGATGATTTATTTGAGTTCGTTCTTTCTTTTGTTGTTTATATAGCGTGCTTTGTGCTCCCTTAGCAAAACCAGGGGAAGGTTATAGCTTCTTCTTTAGATAACACAGTAAAGGTTTATGCACGGCAATTTTTGCATAATTTTGAAATCCCATTTTTTCATCTGTGATTTCATAGACATTGACGAGTGTAAAGGAAAGCACTCTTGTCATGAGAATGAAAACTGCACCAACACCAGTGGATCACCTGTATGCGATTGTCAGCCTGGATATACTGGAAATGGCCAAAATTGCATAGGTGAATTCGGAATAGCATGCGGTCATGGATGATTTATTATAGTTCGTTCTTTTTAGTTGTTTATATAACGTGTTTTGTGCTCCCGTAGCAAAACAAGTGCAGTTTATAGCGGTTGCTTAAGATAGCCTCCACTGTACCAATATGAAAAATATTGAAAAATAGCAGTTTGACTTACAGGTCCAACCCGAGAATCGCATTAAACCAAAAATTGCAAACGAGTATTCCACTTTTTTCATATACATGCACATGTATGACTTTTGCATAAAAAACAACTCACATTTGTCATTCTTTTCTCTTTCTTCTCTTTCTTCTTCTTCTTCTTCTTTTTTTTGACATTCGTTGTAGCTTGATTATGACGAAATGTGTATGTTCTCTTTCAGACATCGACGAATGCGGTGAAGCTAATGCCGTGAAAATTAATAACTGCCATCCAAATGCCTCTTGCACTAATATTCAGGGCTCATACAGCTGTTCCTGTAATCTTAAATACATCGGGAATGGTATAAACTGTGAAGGTACGTTTGGTATCTGCCATGCCATTAAATTAGTTAAGATGGCTATAGGTTAGACTCGATCTGAATCTTTCCTATTCAGGTGGGCATTAACGACCATATTGCTGCTTAGTTGTATATAAACTACGTTAGCTGCGCGTTAATTCTGCCGAAAGCTGTCTTTGATGCGTTATTGAAGAAAGAGGAAACACAAATTCAGAGACTGCTTTTCGTAGTTTATAAATTTTATTTCCCATATTTATTTACTTCACCTCTCTTTTTTTAAAGTAGTTGTCATTTCTAATAACCAAAGTCCTGTTGTAATAATTATTCCAATTTGTAGCCGATCCATGCTATCATTATAAAAACCTGACTGATGCCAACAGAAATATAAGTTACGTTACACCTTACGGTTCAGCGATGTGTGACAACCAACTCTCTGAGGGATGGTATCGTCTTGTGGGAGCTGCAGGCACAAAAATGCCAACAACCCGTGTGCCAGCATTCAGATGTGGTACAGACTGGTCAGGTTGGTTGGATGGCTCTCATCCTACAGTGGAAGATGGTGAAGTTCAAAGGAAGGTCTGCTTTAGTGGTCGCGATACTGGTTGCAGATATTCGAACAGGATTTCTGTGAAAAACTGTGGATCATACTATATCTACAAACTTTTGAAGCTTTCAGGCTGTGTTGCACGTTACTGTGGTACAGGCAGAAGCTAAAGCAAAAATTTTAAGAAATAAGAAAACTCATAAATTGATCCTTAGGTGCATATAATCTAGGAACTTTTCGAAGTCCTCTTTTATGATAATCATTAATTTCTTCTATAAATTTTATACGCTGATGATGTCCCTTTAACGTGTAATCAAAAATACTTTGAATTTCACATTTTACAAAGTATCTCTTTCATAATTATAATCACAAATAACTAATTTCTGCTAAAAGAACTACTAGTAAACATAAAGAAAAGTGTAGAAAGGAAAATGCTTAAAAAGTGAAATCCTAGACAAGCAGGAATTAGCATGATAACTGACAAAACATGACGAAACTCTTTTCTCTAAACGTTAGAAGCTGCTATACAGGACGCAATATATAGCACAGTATGATAATGTAGCTTCAGTTTGTATAGGTAATCACTTGATTTCGAGTGCAATTTGGAATAAATAAGCACGAGTGAATTTTTTAAAAGACTAACAAAATTACACGAGCCCTTAGGGCGAGTGCAATAAGTGGTCATTGGAAAAATTTACAAGTACTTATTAATTTCAAATAGCTCGAGAAAAATCATGTGATTACTTGTTAATGATATACGTGAAAAAATACGATATAGCTTATCATAACTATACAGAAGCAAAGCGCGCACATCAAGTGCAAAAATAATCTATTCAAACCGTGCGTTCTATCAAAACAACTGCGTACGATCAAAACAGTAATATACAAAGATATTCTCCCATCTTAAGGCGCAGAAAAGTCCAAGACCGGCTAAACAGTTCAAGGAATTGTTCAGTCTCGTTTGTTACTTCTTTGCACTAAATTGACCCTCTTCTGCATTGAATTACCTAGAGACTGCTTCTATCTTAACCAATCAGAACTAAGTAATTTTTTTTAGGGTATCTTGTTAATTTTAAAAATTAGATGCCGCTTTAGTTAGTGCTAATGGTAAGTTCGGTCTGATAGTTGCTTTAAAAAGAAAGCAATACGATTATGTAAGGACAAGTGTGTGTTAATACTATCTCGTGTGAGGAAGTAAGGTATGGTATTAAAGTTTAAATATTTTCCTCGCAATTTTACCTTAAAATGAAAAAAAAAGTTTCCAAGTGGAAGAGTTTTGAAACAAATTTGTCATTGTTTCAATCATATGAAACCATTAATAATGGCGTAGAGGAGAAATCCCAGATGCTAGTGTTAAGTTGGGGTAAGGAAGTTAAAAGGTAGACAAAAAGAATAGTTAAAAGTTAGCTGAGAGTTTAAAGTTGCACACGATTCCTCAGTCAAGTATTTGTCTTCCATACCCGTGAAGAAATTTAAACGCATAGCAAATGAGATAAACACTTATAAACACTATTTCTCTATAAACCAAAAATGAATGTTTTTATAACCAATTCACTATTGATATGTAAGGTCGATATTCTTCACTGTTGACATTCGTGAGTGATATTGGCTGTCATGATCGTAAACTAGAGATAGTAGAGGTATAGGAATAAGTCATGACTTTCGACCGCTCAACTGAAAACTGTTCACCAGCTTGAATTACATGCAGTGCGTACAACTTGCGCAGTAAGAATTGGTCAATAAAACTTTACGTACTTCTTAATTTATTTGCGAGGCAATTCTCATGACGCAAGCAATGCCAGTGTTCAATTGTTGTTAATCCCTTAATGGTACCTATATCAGTTGCTGATAGTAGTGAGGGGTTAGCAATGTAATTGACGGAAACGGAGGAGAGGAGGAAGGAATTTGCAATGATAAAAAAAAAAAACAAAAACAAAAACAAACAAAAAAACCGGAAAGGCCCATTGCTCTTTTTAGGAGTGTAAATAATTATGGTTATAACTAGAAATCTTCTGTATCCATCCCGTTTCCCTCAGTTTGCCGCAAAAACAAAAAAACGTGAAATCGCTCATTTTTCTAATATACGCATTAAATGAAATAAATGCTTTGCTCACGCTTGATACCGATTTTATTCTTCACAGCGAAACGTGACGTTCATTGGTGGGCGTCTAAACTTCCTGCTAGTAAACAAGTGAGTTGTACACGGTTCCAGATTTTGATTAGGTACATTTGATTGCAAAATTTGGAAAATATTGCACTGAAAAGATCAAGTGTTAAAGTGTTAAATAAATAAAAATAAGTGTCAAGTGTTAAATAAATATTTGAAGCAGGGTCACGCCGTGACTATGCCTGTAATGATAGCGTTATCACATAGGAAAATAGCAGATGTGGCTTCGCCTCTTATAGGAAGCAGTAGCTACATAAATTGTGATTAGGAATCCGAGTGGAAAGCGCGATCACAGACCGGTAATTAGGTGTATGTGATCGTGGCCTGGGAAGCCTGTGATGGGAACGTGATCACAAAGAAAAATAACATTTGTGGCTTCGCCTCCTATTGAATGCAGTAGCCACATAAATTGTGATTAGAAATCACGATTGGAAAACGTGATCACTGACTGTTAATTAGATGTAATCACGGCCTGGGAAGCCTGTGATGATAGCGTGTTCACACTTTGCCCCAAAGTCTGAAAAGTTTTTTGAGCAACTTTAACGTTGTGGCTATTCAAAATTCTCTTGATGGTTTCCGTAACTCCCTGAATGTAAACCAGAGTAGCATCAAACCATGTCTGATTGTCCACCTGGTTGCCGTGTAAACTTTAATATATTTTTTAGATACCAAGATGTTTTTTTGTGATGAACAGGCCCCTTGTGCACTAGAGACTGCCCTTTAAAAAAATAGAAAGTTTAAAAACAGCCTTGTGCGTTAAAAGAATTGTTCTCAAAACTAACCGAAGTAAACGCGTACAACAAACATTTCAATTATGTTTTTTGGAATTTCCGTAGCATTTAACTCACCAAGAGATGTTACTTTGTGACAGTTTTTTTGCTCCATTGAAACATAAATATTTGGAATCTTTCATAAAAAAAAACAAAACAAAACAAAACAAAAAACCTTGAAACAGCAGAACCATTCTTTCGAAATTTAATCTCTTTGAAGAACAAAATACCAGCAACTGGATTGTTTTTAAGCGACTACGTCCAACAACTGTTACAAGGCCACGTGACGTACATGTCGCGAACAATGATCTCAGCGTGTCGTCACAGCACAGCATAGAAATACACAGTCAAAATGTTGTCATTTCCAGACTGGAAATGGATAATTGTCTACAGTTCCTGCTGGGGCGTAAGTTAATTTCATTGTGCTAACCGTGAGGGTTGTAAAAAGACATTTATTTGTAAATAAATTTGCAAGTTCGCCAGCCCAAACTGTATCATTAACCGCATCAACAATTTGGTGCGGTACCTTAAACGAGTCGAAGAGTGCTTGATACCTCTTGTAGGACAGGCTCTATGGGTGTTCGTGCCAATTGACAGAGTATTAAAGTTAAAAAAACCCTCGGGGATAAATGAAACAACTTCTTCGTTTTTGAAATATCATAACAGTAAAAAAAAATATTTGGCAGGATAATTTGATTTCTTCGCTTTTAATTCTTGTTCGAATTATAGAAGTTACGTCAATTTTTTAACCAGATAAGTCGCATCATTTTTTTTCCTTGCAGCAAAAATATACACCCAGAAAAACTTATTGAAAGCCACCATACCAATATGTAATTGCCAACGTTTGATCCACTTTACGGAATAGTGACATCAACTTCTTATGAAGCGAAGACTGTTTCTCACATTTATATGATTGTATAAAGCAATAGACCGCATTTTCTATCGGTTTACCAGCGTAAAAACCCATGCATGACGTTGGGAGAACACGAGAAAATTGCGTAAATCACGAGTCGGAAGCGAGTGATTGTGACTTTTCGGTTATAACGCCGGTTATCCGAAAGAGAGTACTGTCTATTGCCTCTATAAAGTAAACGTCACACAAAACTCAGTGTGTTAAAATATTGTATGCGTCTACCGGTGCAGTAAACGATAGGAATGATCTATCATGGCGCTTGTAGTAACTCAGTTATTTCAGTTATTTAAGAGTGGTTCGGAAAAAAGTTTAAGTGAGCGCGCTTCCTAATAAAAAACTTAGTGGACAAGGTGGATGTTTTAATGACTAAAAACCCAGTCGGTCCAAAGGATCGCAACGACAAACAATGACCCCATAAAATATAGGAAATTAAATTTTCCGAGGATCAAAAATGTTATCCTCATCGGACATTTGTCCACACCCCTCTTCAGTAAATCCTGGATTGTATTGTGTTTGCAAAACTAAGTAAAATGTGACCTTTATATTAAAACGACAAAAACAAACAAACAAAACAAAACATAAAGAAAAGTCGTGCCTTTGAAAGAAGTCTTGACCTAGGTTAGATCTCGTCAAGTGCAATCAGATTGCCTAGATCACTCCATATCGGCTCAAGTCGTTTTCTTTTTTCGGTAAATGTTTCACTTTCAAAAGATCGCTAAAATTTACGATAAAAACGAAGTAAATCCGACATTCATGGCAGAGGAAAGGATGTGGCGTCGAAAGAGAAGCAGACAATCGTTGTGGATCATGTTCATTCAAAACGTGAAGGTCCTGAGGAACAGCCGTCAGAAACCAAAAGCAGACATGTGGCGGCAGCTATCTATTGTCTCACAAGATGCCGTCGAAAAAGTTTGGTAACTGTTGTTTCTATCATAGTGTCCATTGCCGTACTTATCGCAGTGGTGTTTGTAAGAAAACATCCTGCGTAAACCCATGACCACAACGAGTTAAGAGGTAAGAACTGATTCGTATCGTACTTTGGCGATTTAGTTCGAAAGTTATTATGATGAACCTGGAGACTTCACAGCACCGTTTTGTTTTCCACTCCTTAAGAAGTAAGAATTTCACAATTAATTTCTACTGAAACCCGACACTACTTATGAAGCCGTAGTGTTCATCGATCGACATTTGGTATCGGTTATTTAAGCAAAACCAACAAATCTTTTGGATTTTCCTTCTAAAATATTCCAGCTTAAAGTCGGTCTTTCACGTCACTCAAGTTTTTTTTTCTTTTCTCACCGAAAACACTTTTAAAATCTC